CCCTCCCATCATCTGGGCTGCCGCAACTCCCCAGTTGAGGAGACCTGGCATTTTGTTGAAACCATCTGTTCGTGTTCTTCCTCTCACTGCTTTGATTTCCTTAGGGAAATGTTACCAATAGGCGAACTCCCAGTCCTTATCACAGCATAAGGAAAATGAGGCACTCAACAAATATTTAAGAGATATTGTGGCTAAAGCTTTATTCAACTATAAATGCAAAAGAATATTACTATCACTGCTTCAGATGCAAGGGTCCCATTATCCTGGCCCCTCCTGACTCGAGGGCACAACTGCTTAAGGTAAGAATGAACATCTCCAACCCTTCTCCAAACACCACTTATCCCTCTAAGCCCACATTTACTTGGAGGGCCTCCACTGTGAGGGCAGCACTGAGGTCAAGGCTGGGGGGTCTGGCGAAGAGACTCGGGGGTGCCACCCTCCTCCTCTTGGAATTGGTGCTCCCCAGCAGGAGAAACCAAACCTGATCCATCCTTGGGTCTCCCTGGCTGTTGCACAGGTTCCCTGTGGAGTAAGTTACTCTCCCAGTCCTCACTGCTCAGCTTAGGTTGCTCCTTGAGGAGTGGAGGACGCTGTACTCATTCCTCAGTGTCCCTTGATTCCTCTGAACTCAACTTGTCCTTATTCTCACCTCCTTTGCCAACGCACCTCCTCCACCAGCACCTTAATCTTCTTTGGGTTATCATCATCCTCCAAGCCTGCTGACTTTCTTTCTTCCATCTGCTCCCTCAATTCTGTGTTTTCAAGATGTGGTCTCAGCTCAGGCTCCTACAGGAGACACACAGAGAAGGGACCAAGGCCAGGTCTCACCCGCAGTTCCCAGGGCACATTCCACATGCATCTCAGTCTCCCACGCAGAGAAAACTGAACAGGAAGGGACATTGGAGAATTTGACTAACAACCTTATCTTACCGATGGGGAAAGTGAGGCCCGGAGGGAATAGGAGATTTTCCCACACTCCCTCAACCCTTGACAACAGCAGAGCCCCCATGTAAGCCTTGGCCACAAGCTTCCCGTCCAGAGTGCCTGCCACACCCTCCAGGAACCCACGGCTGAATTTCAGGAGCCAATGGATCAAACATGAGGATTTCCACTGTTCAAACAAAAACGGCTGAAGAACCTTTCCAGGGACAAATCTTTTACCATAGTTCTTTAGTCCTATTATTAATATTCAGTCAGTTTTCACACCTGGCTGACACCATGGGACCAAGGAACACAGAAATATTAAATAAAATTTATCACAGCCAAAATTAAAATCTATTTATATGATTATCTGTAAAATGTCTGGCTCTCGTGCCGGAAGCTCATCTTCCAGAGAGCGGGCACTCTGTCCACCCGTTCGCCCCATCTCCCCAGTGCCTCCACAAGGGCCTGACAGAGAAGCCATTCAGTAAATATTTATCAAATGGGTAAATAACAGTTTCCAAGAATAACTAACCCTCCCTGATGCCTTCGACTCCAATCACATTTCCACTCAAATCCTATTCCAGGTGTGAGCGGAAGCAATAAAGGCACAGCCTGAGGAAAGGCAGCGGAAGATTCAAACACCAGCTCCACCGTGGACCACACATACTTCAGTGGATGATTTCATTGCCTGCTTTGAGCACGTCTATCCCCTGTACAATAGAGAAGAATGTATAATGTAAAGTACAGAAGCTGCATTGACCACTACAGTATTGGATGATTGAACGTGATATCAAGCAGCAGACAGGGCTCTAACCCCTGGGCACCAGCTGCAGAGCTAAAGAACCCCTACGTCAGAGTCAACGCGGTGCTTGTTCAAAACTTATGGGGACAAGGCCCAAGAAACTACATTTCAGACAAAAATTCCAAGGAGATTCTCATACAAGGAAAAAGCCTCACCATTTAAAAATTTTAAAAAGCCTAGGATGGAGACTCTGAGACTCCCATTGGTAAGAAGAATGACTCAGCTTTGAGCACAGCAAGTCCCTTGTCCAAGGTCACCTTTCAATGGGAAACGTCCCCGTGTCCAGGAAGAGTTCCTAAGTGATGTGGGACGCAAAGAGGACTCTGCTTCCCAGTCTGGACTTTTAGTGTCTCCCTTGTCCTTTGATTTTCTCCTCTGCTCTGATCACTGGGGGATGTCAGCCCTCATAGGGGTCATTCTTGATGAAGACCTCTGTTATTTTAGCCTCCTCTTGGAGAAACATATGGCAGAGGTCAATTCTGGGGCTCCACAGAGCTAGGCTTTCTCCTAAGCCACCTTGGTGAGCTGAAAGATGCCGTGACTGCCAGAAATTATATTAATAAAGAGGGACAGGGATAAACAGCGGATGATGAGGGCAGCCTCTCAGGTGACATAGAACCACAACATGATCAATATCAGACCTACTCAGGTGGGGAGGACATACCAACCAATTCTGTCAGCAGAGAGCGCAGCCACATCATTCTAGAATTCTGATCCACAGAACTGTGAGACAACAAATGTGTGAAGTTTCACACCACTGCTTTTGTAATCTGTTAACATGCATCAATAAGGAACTAATTCAGATACTTACCTCTACTCTCCTGACTTTTCAATTTTCAGAAACATGTATGCTAATCCCTATAAAGCAAAAAAATCAAAGACCACAGTAGAAATGGTGTGCTCACTTCAGGTGACTATTCCCAAGCCCTTGTAATGGGAACACACTCTGAAGGGGATTTCAGGCACTGGACGAACGTCTCTTTCACGTTACCAAGCAGACCTCTAAAAGAATAAAGAGGGTACAACACTTAACTCCACGGAACATTGTCTACGAATCCATCAGCTGTCTCTGTTTCCTACTGCAGATTATGTTTAGCTCCTTGTTCTCCTGAACTCACCAGACAAGGTGTTATAGCAAATGCCAGTTACCAGCATGGGCGAACCAATTCAAGGAGAGCAAGAGAGCCGCCGCTAGAGTAAGTTCCCCAGACAAAGTCCTTTGAATGCAACCTCCCCACTTATTTGGACTGGGAATACAGAAAAGATCTATTTTTTAGAGTCTCATTCTAATGAAAATTCAAACGTCTCTGTTTACCAATTTGTATTTTTCTCAAGCCCCATCGTGGAAACCTCACTTTTCAGAATGACAGTTCCCAATTGCTCGAGCCTGGCCTCTCTGTCAAGGGAAGTTAGGTAAGCCCAACCTCAAACCTCTCCTGTGAACCAGCCCCTCCCCCTCAAAATCCAGAACAGCGTGTGAACCCACAGGCAGTAGCATCCAACAAGTAAGAGGGATATGTTTGCACTGCTCTTGGCCCAGATCATCTGAGAGAACACAGCAGTCAGAAAACAGAAGAGCATAGAGAAAAATCCTATTGATTTCAGCTTTTCCAGGATGTCAGATAACTTATGCCAATGAGTGTACTTACTGGGTAAATCTCTCCCTGGACAGAATTATGAGGTAGCATTGTTTTGT